TAAATAAATAAAAACGAATGGCTGGAAGAAAGTAAATAAACAAAAGAACAAACAAACTGGGTAAATAAACGAATAGAATAAACGGATAAACACATAAATAAATAAAAAGCGAACAATAAGGAAAGAATAAATACATAAAGTATAAATAAAGAAACAATAAATAAAGAAAAAATAAACAAAGAAAGAATATATAAAGAATGAATTAACTGATAAACGGGAACCAATGCCGGTTACCTGAATGGCCCAGCTGTTGACAACGCTGACGGTCGTTGGGAGCAGCTCCACGCCCGCGCTGCCGCAGTTGCATCCCGGGCCGCCCACGCCCACGCGGAGATCCCAGGGCGACGCTTCTATTCTGTTGCATAGAAGGAGTCAATTCGCATGACTACTACTACTAGTATAACTACTACTACTATACTACTACTACTATACTGCTACTACTACTGCTACTACTGTAACGACTACTACTACTATACTACTACTACTACTATAACGACTACTACTTACTACTTTATCTACTACTGCTGTTATTATTACTACTAATACTATTACGAATACTATCACCACTACTACGACTATATCAGTACTACTACTAGTACGACTACAAGTTCGACTACGACCTCAACTACAACTACCATTATCACAAATGCTACTAAGCCTACTGCTGCAACAACTACTACAATATTAAAAAAGGGACACAAACACCAAGAAAAATCTCACCGTCTTCTCAACGTCTCTGCTGGACTTGAAGGCTCCTCCTGGCGGCGTCGTGTCCAGGCTTCGTTCATCCTGAAGGCGGTGTCGTTCCCTTCGTCGGGTGAGGTCTCAGGGGCGTCCTCAGCCCTCAGAAGGATCGCGTCTCCCGCTGCCCTTCGACGGAGGCTTCGAGTCGCCATATTCATGTTTTCGTTGTTGTTGTTATTGTTGTTGTTATTATTATTATTATTGTTGTTGTTGTTGTTATTGTTGTTGTTGATGACGTTGACGACATTCACAACGGTGTTTAGGACGATCATCATGAAGCTTAGGAAACTGAACACCGAGAAACCTACGGGCGCTGGGCACTTCGAGGAGGACTTCGAGTACAGACTCCTAGCTTGATCTTCTCTCGCGAAAGTCATTGCTCCGAGGTCCTCCTCCATAGCCTCGTGAGTGGGTCGCTGCAGATTTCCTCTCCAGGGAACGGCGAGGTCATCCTGGAGGAAAGACGCTGTGGAGATCGAACTCAGGATGATGAGAAGGAGAGTCGTGAGTTTGATGCTGAAGGACATATCTTTAGCCGGGAGATAAACATGAGTTAGTCTGTATTTGTCTCTCTTTCAAGCATAAATTAGTACGTATTTATCTCTTTTTTTAAGCACTGGTTAGTCCGTGTTTCTCTCTTTTATTAACATTGGTTAGTCCGTGTTTCTCTCTTTTATTAACAGTTAATGGCGTGGGTCTTCTGTCCGTTCAGAAAGACCAGGCGATTTTCCTTTACCTTCACCACAACAAACCATCAACAGCAACACCAAAATGAACGAACGAGAAACAAAATTTTCACATCCTCTTTTCTTCCCACTACCTCATCTCCCTCAAGAAACCAGCCACTATACCACCTCGGGATGATCTACCAGGCCATTCCAGCGCAAAATAAAACACCACACCACAGATCGCCCGAACCGTTTAGACCGAGTGGAACAAATAAGGAACACTGCTGTAGCGGACTGTGCGGGCGATACTGCAGCTCCGCCCACAGACACCGAGAGGCAGTCCGAAGAGCGCGCTGACCGTGGCCGGGAGTGAGGCAGAGCTCTGGGAAAAACAGTTAGTTCGCTACGGCTACTTGGAGCGCCTTACCGTTACACTTGGCCCCATGATTGTTTGCATTTGTTACAGTTCAAATACTGTAGAAGTGCAAAGTATAGATTTGTGGAAAACGAGCGAGGGGAAGGGAAGGGAAAGACAGAGGAAAAGAGGAAGAGAGGAAGGAGAGGAGAGGAAGTGAGGAAATGAGGAAGTGAGGAAGTGAGGAAGTGAGGAAGAAAGGAAGAAAGGAAGAGAGAGAGAGAGAGAGAGAGAGAGAGAGAGAGAGAGAGAGAGAGAGAGAGAGAGAGAGAGAGAGAGAGAGAGAGAGAAAGAAAGAAAGAAAGAAAGAAAGAAAGAAAAAAAAGAAAAAAGAAAGAAAGAAAGAAAGAGAGAGATAGACAGGTATATATATATATATATAATATATATATATATATATATATATATATATATATATATATATATATATATATATATAGAGAGAGAGAGAGAGAGAGAGAGAGAGAGAGAGAGAGAGAGAGAGAGAGAGAGAGAGAGAGAGAGAGAGAGAGAGAGAGAGAGAGAGAGAGAGAGAGAGAGAAGAGAGAGAGAGAAGAGATAGATAGATAGACATATTATATATATATATATATATAATATATATATATATATATATATATATATATATATATAGAGAGAGAGAGAGAGAGAGAGAGAGAGAGAGAGAGAGAGAGAGAGAGAGAGAGAGAGATAGAGAGAGAGAGAGAGAGAGAGGCAAGTGGAAGAGGTAAACGTACAGGGAGAGCGGGAAAGAAATGAAGGAGAAGGAAAGTGGAAAAAGAGGCAAAGGTAGAGGGAAAAGGAGGAGGAGAGGGAGAGAAAAAGAGATGGGGATGGAAGGGAGAAGGAAAAGGAAAACGTAGAGGGAGAAGAGGAAGGAAAGAGAAGGAGAGTGGGAGTGAAGAGAGAGGATAGAAAGGGAGAGGAGATGGAGGGGGAGAAAGAAGGGAGAAGTAGAGGGAGATAAGGAAGGACAGCAACAGAGAAAGAGAATGGGAGAGAAGGAGAAGGAAAGAGAGAGAAAGAGAAAGGTAGACGTCAAACAGAGAAGATGCAATACGAACAATCAAATCAAGGGTAATATCTTTCCTCAACACTAAAAAAAAGAAAGAAAGAAGAAGAAGAAGAAGATAAAAAAACGCAAATATCCCACACCTCATATCCCATTCTCATAACAGGCCCCTCCATACACAGTTACACTCAAGTACGTCTCCGTTACCTCCGTCAGCTAAGCGAACTCTCCGTTACTTGAGCGAGTGGCAGTCCAGCTTAACAGTCACGCCCACCGCACGCCCCTCTCGCCCTAGTGTGGTTGTGTGTCAGTGTAGTTCCTCAGTGTTGTGAGACACGTGCTACCGGCGAGCTATGTGCTTATGTCTGTTCCTGCTTTGATTTCTGTGTTGTGAGTATTGTAAGTGTATTTTTTTTCCGGTTTGTGATATTGGTGTTGTGATGAGTATGTGAATTTTTATTTCTGGTGTTGGTAGCGTGTGTAATAGTTACTTATTTTATGTAAAAGTGAAAGAACTTGCCTCCATTTCTTGTTTGTATTGTATTTACATTCTCTTTTACAAACATTTTACAAAAAAAAATATTCCTTCTGATGGAAAACTTCCTGATTTTTACACCACCGATCAGAAATTACAACGCCCATATATTCAACAGGTAAGCTTAAGCGGAGTCGTTTTTTGAGGTGAAAAAAAATATATATATCGTGCATCACCACTGTCACCATGAGAGTATTAGCAGTACTGACGTGCATGACATGGTGCAGCCTTTTCCTGCCGTGTGAGAGCGCTTCACCAAGAGGCTTCTCGGCGGAAGGACCGCGAGTCAGAAATAACACAAACTCGGACCCTGAATCTTCGTTATCTAAGAGCGAGGTGCTTACGCTGCTGCCGTCGCGAGGTAAGGCTTATGAGAAATCGTATGAAACTGAATGCGTGTATCTTAATTATTTTCTATTTTGCTGATTTTCTCTCTCTCTCTCTCTCGTTCCTCTCTCTCTCTGTCTCTGTCTGTCTCCATTTTCCTCTGTCTCCCTCCTCTTTCTCTAATTCTGTCTCCTTCCCTCTCTCTCTCTCCTATGTCTCAACTCCCCCCACCCTCTCTCTCTCTCCTTCTTCTTCTTCTTCTTCTTCTTCTTCTTCTTTCTTCTTCTTCTTCTTCTCTCTCTCTCTCCTCTCTCTCTCTCTCTCTCTCTCTCTTCTTCTCTCTCTCTCTCTCTCTCTCTCTCTCTCTCTCCTCTCTCTCTCTCTCTCTCTCTCTCTCTCTCTCTCTCTCTCTCTCTCTCTCTCTCTCTTTCACCCCTTGATCATCTCTCTATATCTTCCCCTCGTCCCCCTATCCTCCTCAACATCCTCTTCTCTCCACCTTCCTTCCCCACTGCTCTCCTTCGCCAGTGAAAATCTTCCTCACACATCTTCCCTTATAAATCCAAACACCTTTAAACATTTTTGAAAACACCTTTGTAGAGCGTTCATGAATACTCCAGAAAGAGGATGATGATTCATTGCGTTTCTTACCTCCATTTGTCAAGATAAACTCTATGCCACTATAGAAGGGTGTCATGATAAACTCTATGCAACTATAGAAGGGTGTCATGATAAACTCTATGCAACTGTAAAAAGGTTAGAATCAAGTAAACTCAACCTCATGTGCAACTATAGAAGGGTGTCATGATAAACTATGCAACTATAGAGGATGTCGTGATAAACTCTGTGCAACTATGAAGGGTGTCACACTATGCAACTATAGAAATCATGATAAACTATGCAACTATAGAAGGGTGTCATGATAAACTATGCAACTATAGAAGGGTGTCATAAATGCAACTATTGGCACTATGCAACTATAGAAGGGTGTCATGATAAACTCTATGCAACTATAGAAGGTGTCATAAACTAGCCACTATAGAAGGGTGTCATAAAACTGTGAACAGGTGTCATAAACTCTGTGCAACATAGAAGGGTGTCATGTGCAACTATAGAACATGATATGCAACTATTTGTCATAAACTGTGAAACTATAGAAGGGTGTCAAGGTAAACACTATGCAACTATAGAAGGGTGTCATAAACTATGCAAGTGTCATGCAACTGTAAAAAGGTTAGGATTGAGAATGAACAGCTCCACAAAGGGAAAAATACTCTCTTTGTGGAAGAATTCATTCTCTTTCTCTCTACAAAGAAAGTAATTCACTCTCATTCATTTTTTTCATTTATCAAAATGACCTTAAGTCCCGCATAAAAAGTTAGTCTCACACATACCTTTCCTACACCTTCCCAGAACGAACCGTAATAAAAAAAAACATGAATGAGAAATGACTCACTTTACACCTGACTCATTCCCTACTCACCGCGCTTCTCCCAACGACCGCCAGGGGTTCCTCCTCCGCCGCACCACCTCTCGCGGCGCAGCGGCTGTGACCAACCCTCGTCCTCCGGGTTCTCCACCTTCGGGTTCCTCGCCTTCATGCTCATCTCCATCAACACCGTCGTCAACATCATCAACAACATCAACAATAACAACAACAACAATAACAATAACAATAATAACAACAACGATAACAACAACAACAACAACATGAACACGAACGAGAACGGGAGGGCGTTCGAGCTGAAGGAGGACCTCTGGGACTTGGAGGCCTTCGACGACCACCACTGGAGGAGGAGGCGGGACGCGTGTGACTGCCGTGGTGAGTATGGCGGTTTATGGTGCGGTTGCCATGGTGACTGTATGATGCGGTTACCATGGTGGTTGTAGTGGTGAATATGGTGTATTTGCCATGGTGATTGTCGTGTGATGAGTATGGTGTTCGAATGTAGCTGTCAAGGTGATTGTATGTTGCGGTTGTCATGGTGATTGTATGGTTGCCATGGTGATTGTCTTGTGTAGTTGCTACTGTGATTGTATGCATGCTTGCGACTGTAATAGTAAGTTGTGTCTACTATGGTGATTGTATGGAATGGTTGTCATCGTGATTGCAAAGTGTTCTTGCTATGGTGATTGTGTAGAATGGTTGCCATGGTGATTTATGGTATGGTTTCTGTGTTGATTTTATGACGTGGATGAATATGGGGCCTGTATAGTGTGGTTGCTATGGTGAGTGACGCTAACCGAACGGTGTGGCTGTGGTGAGTAATTGTTATTGTAGCTTGATTACAGTGATGAGTGACACTGCCTCGATAGTTATTTTGTCAGTGATTGTGCGTTTGTATGGTGAGTGATAATCTTAATAAAGTTACAGTTGTAGTGATGAGTGAGGGATGACAATCCTTGTGGCTGTCTTGGTAAATGATGGTGAATGTCGGAATGAATGATGGTGACTGCGTAGTGTGGCTGTCTTGAGACTGATGGTAACTGTATAGTGCAGCTCGTGATAGTGAATGCTCATGATTTGATGATATGAGGAGATGGTGGTCAATGGATGATTTTCGGTGGTGTTTATTGGTACACCATTGCTAGGAAGATTTATACTAATACTGATTCATAGCATATCTTGCAGGATGACATGTATAGTGCGTTATCACTGCATTGCCAAGAACCAGACATTACTAATTTTCCAAACCGGAGGACGAGTTTGCTAACATGAAACGAAAGGTAAAAAAAAAAAAAAAAAATTAACCATTTTCTTCCACCTGGATCTAAAACAAAAGGTTCTGCGGGCGTGAAGGAAGCCATGGGCGAGACGAGTGACGATATCCAATCCTGGGCGGCCGCCGTGCTCTCCAAATACCCCCAGTGTGTTCCGCGGTTCGCCTGTGAGATGGCTTCGTATGCCGGCGAGAGCACAGTAGGGTAAGACTGACAGCCTCGGACTTGGAATTCTGAACTTGATCTTTTACGAATGCATTTCTCTCTATCTGTTTACCTGTTCACATGCCAGACCATTATTTATATATCTGAGAGCAAGTATATGCATATGTCTGATCTTCCACGCATGAATTTCTATCTGCCTGTCTACCTGCTCACATACTTGACCATTATTTATATATCTGAGAACAAGTATATGCATATGTCTGATCTTCCATGTATGAATTTCTCTATCTGTCCCTGCTCATTGCCAAACCATTATTTATATATCTGAGAACAAGTATATACATCTGATCTTCCACGCATGAATTACTATCTGCCTGTCTACCTGCTCACATACTTGACCATTATTTATGTATCTGAGAACACACATACATATACAAACGTTCTTTTTATCTTCATGTTCCAGATTATTGTTATTAACACCTTTGAAAACGTCTTTGGCCGGCGAGATCCTTCAGTCGTCCAGAAGCGGAGGGTGTCAGACTTTGTATCCTCTCTGCCCACTCTTTGATGGCTGAGGATTTCGTCATAGTCTTACGTTATAAAAAGGGCGGTTTCTTACACATTCAGGAATAAAGATATTGGAATATTTTTCCTTCGTTTGATTACATCTTTCTTTCGTTTTAAGTACGTGGCGAACATGTTCATGGAATGTCATGGGTTGCATAATAAGGTGTGTGTGGACTTGCAAAGTCCTGCATAATTAGAGATTACAAGAGCATTCCTATATTTCTTTAAAAGCATGTCTATATTTTAGAATGGATTGATAGAATTATGAAGAGATTATACTACCTCTGAATTAATCATTAAGAAACTTAACGCGCACTTTGAGCACCAAGGGACAATAATACCACTA